CATCCTTATAAAATCATAGAATATAAATTATTTCGTTGTCAATTGGGGGCTCAAAATGGGCTACTGCAGTGGACTCCTTCAGGAAATACCTCTTGCCAAGTTAACTTTCAGAAAGTTTCTAGACCAAAAGGCTGTGTGTAGCTAACGTGGGGATAACCAAAGACCACCATTGGCTGGGGTACATCATTCTGGATGATCAGCTGAGGTTAATGAAACCCATCTGTGTCCTTAAGGGCTTCTATAAATCAACCTTGGGTAGAATCACTCCTTAATGTAAAGGTATCTAGTAAAGATCAACTATATCAACTATTTTCCTCCTCCGGGGCAGTTGAGATTGTTCTTACCAGCATGTTCACGGACAATTCAGGAAACGATGCCATGCAATTTAGAGAAGCATTAAATTCATCTCCCCAGACATTGAACAGGATTTGATTCCAAGTCTGACTCTAACATGAAAGATAAGAATTTTAACCTTACATTTAGATATCTACAGAGCATCTCATAAAGGAAATGAATAAATTTTCCATTAAATTTCTCATAGGAAGAAAAGTCAACCATTGGTTCTTTCTATAAACTATGTCTTCAAAGACCCAACACCATTTTTCCTCTCCTAATTGCTATTATGAGGCAATGAATTTCTTATATGGAAACAATACAAATATAACTGCATGGCATATGTAGGCCATGTGTTCTAGTGAATCCATAAAAAAAATGTTTCATTTATGTTTTGATGAAAAGCACAATCTTCCAGGGACATTAATCATTAATTTTGGAAAAGTAGGATTAATACATGACTTAGCTCAATGATAGAATAGTTCATATATATCTGTCAAAGAAACATTCATTCATTCAACAGATATTTAGTGAACAGCTACAATGCTGGAATTTAAGTGTCGTGCCTTCCCTGGCTCGAGTGACATTTGTATGTAATAATGTGAATGATATTCAAGTGGCATAAAAAATAAATGTGTTATAGTTTAAGGTTTTCTGAAACAAAATACTCAAGAAAAATTGAATTCTTCAGTCAAGAAGAATATTTTATAACAAAAGAGAACCATCCAATCTTTTCTCATCTATAAATGTCTCTGAGATTTTGGTTAAGGCTTCAGTTGAAAACAACTGAAATAAACCCACTGAAACAAGCTTAAGCAAATTATGTGTCTCAGGACAAGACTTGTAGCTGGGCCCCACAGAGAATTAGACCAGAAACTATAAAGCTGTCAGAACCAGTAAGTTTCTCCATCTCTCTGGGGCCTCATAGCTTCTTGCTTCTGCCTTTTCCTGCTCATCTGCATCATTCTATTTTTCCCTTTCTGACAACAATCCTTCTCTGGTTCATCATGCACATGACTACCCAAGGCTCAACTTTGCATCATTGTCTGGCTCAAAAGTTCAGCAGGATCTGGCCAGCATCTTAGAATCCTAATTCTGGATTCTGGGAAAAGAAGATTTGATTGGTTCAGCCTGTGTTGGGTGTCCACCAGCGGTCCAACCAGCTTTGACAATGAGAGAGAGATTATATAATTAAGATACGCCATAGGGGTCCACCCTATGATGGAGAGGAAAGGGATATTCAGAGATGGAGAGCATGAGTTGTGCAGACACCTCCAAGCTTTTTCTTCATTTGAACTGGACAGAAAACATTTTTAGTTGTGAGCTTTGGTGTAAAGGTATTAGTCTAGTCCTGACCCTCACTCAGTTTTGCAGAAAATCTATCAGAACAAATGTATTTACCTCTCTTAGCTGCAAGTAAAGTTTCAGTTCATTCTGAGCCCTGCTTGGTCCTCTAAGGCAAACTAGTTTCACTGAGCATGACAAAAGCATCTGACTTTTTCTTCTTAAGACAGTATTAAGAGGTGTGCATTCCCATACATTTCTTAGCTACATTCAATTTAACTCCATGTACTTTCTATCTGGGAGTTTCTTTGTATATTTCTATAGTTCTTCAGCCTGATTTCTCTCCGGAGACATGTTACCGCACATAGTTTTGGGTACCTTTGACACAATTGAGATGATTACACTGCCTTGGAAATCTGTCATTGCTACCATGACATTATACAATCCTCAGAAACATTCCCTCGATTCAAATCAAAACCAAGAAAGTCTAAATTGTCCCATTTTCCCATATTCAGATAACCAATTTACATCTATTTCCAGTTTTCCAGTATCATTTTCTGGAACTAACTCTTTGCCTTGTCTGTGGCGGATTCAAGGTAACTCTTACCCTGGCAATATGGCAACACCTTTTCATGTGAAGCCTTCTTTGTATTTAGGACATCATGTCAAATCTTTACCCTAATTGCTCTAATCCTTACAAACTAATCTCAGTGAAAAATTAATTACAAAGCAGACAAATATTTGCAAGAAATGTGGAAATACATTATTAAATGCAGCTTCCCTCCCAGACATATAAAATGTGGTATATGTATACCATGGAGTACTATTCAGCTCTAAGAAACAACGGTGATATAGCACATCTTATATTTTCCAGGTTAGAGCTGGAACCCACACTACTAAGTGAAGTATCCCAAGAATGGAAAAACAAGCACCACATATACTCACCAGCAAACTGGTATTAACTGAGCAGCACCTAAGTGGGCACATAGGTACTACAGTAATAGGGTATTGGGCAGGTGGGGGGGTGGTATGTACATACATAATGAGTGAGATGTGCACTATCTGGGGGATGGTCATGCTGGAAACTCAGACTTGTGGCGGGAGGGGGGGAAAGGGCATTTATTGAAACCTTAAAATTTGTACCCCCATAATATGCCGAAATAAAACAAAACAAAAAAAAACCTTTAGTCAATCATAAAAAAAAAGTATTGAACTCTTCTATTATCATCAGACAAGGTCTTTCAGACTAGGGCAACGAGTGCCCACTCTCATGATGTGACTCCACTTAGGCTCTCAGATTTTCCCAGTGGAGATAATGACCTTCTCAGAATAAAATTAATTTGCGTTTGCGTGTGTTTACTAAAAATATTATTTATCGAGAAAGTGTTTTCAAAACACAGGTACAAAGATGATCTTACCTTCTCCTTACAACAATTCTATGAATGAAGGAATAATAATAACAATGAAGGGAAAACTTTAACCATTCCATTTTAAAGATGAGCAAACTGAGGTCTGAAATAACTAGCTTTGTGACTTGTTCACAACCTTCCATAAAGCCTTGCCCTGTAGAATGAAGGCATTAAACTATGAGTTCCCTAATGTTCTATCCAGCACTGCCGTTTCATTTTAAATTAATTAAAGTAATTAATGAAATTTTAGCAACCAAAGGCACAGGTTAGTGGTAGGCTGAGGCTAAGAATTCAGGCTTTTATTCCAGGTTCTTTGACAAGAAGTAGGGAAACGTCCTGAGGCTGAACAAAAATAGCATATTACAACTCAAGAGTTTGAAGTTGCTGAATGAGAGGTTCCATTTCTAAGGCTATGACAATACCCAGAGTACATTGTAGAAGACAGTGTAAATAATCCTAAAGGTGAAGCTCAACTTTCATTGGCAGAATCTTAGCAACAAGTGGAATATTTGAAACAGAACAAAAAAAAAGTTTATCTTTCAAGCTGTAAAATGGTCACGTTGAAAATTTCCATCCCTTTTCCAGCCAAGTGACTCAAATAAAGCTACAAGTACAGGTGGACACGGAGCAATTTTTCAAAATGAAAAGGTTTTTAATACAAGAAATGTGGTTTTCACAAAGATTCTCTATGGATCAGGGCTTGTTGTCTGTGCCAGATTTAGATAACGTGTCAGAGGCAAAACACTCTAAGCTCAGCACGGGACTGCTGAAATTCCGCCCTGAGTGTGTGCTTGAGCTGCAGGGGGTGCTTACCCTCAGGAACACTGGGGTCCAAGCACTCAGGGATATTGAGCCTCTCCGTTCAGGAAGCCTGTCACCAGATAACTTACTCTCCTAGGCCAGCTGTGAACTTGGCATTGCTTGGCAGGATCTTTAACCACCATCACACAAAAATCTTGGACCAAGCTACACAGAGCTACCATGGGAGCGGCTCTCCCTCAAATCAACACTTGCAATTGAAAGTGTTTACCCCTTTAATTTTTTATTATGGGCTTACAATTGAGATAACTACTTTTTTCTATCCATGGTGTCTTTATTTAAAAAATAGCTTTATTGAGATATAATTTATACATGATAAAATTTATCCATTTGAAGTGTAAAATGCAATGGTTTTTTATATGTTCAGAAATATGCAACCATTACCATAATCTAGCATTGGAAGATTCTCATCATCCCAAAAAGAAACCTCCTACCCATTAACCATCCCTCTCTACCCTCACCAACCCCAGCCCTAAGCAACCATGAATCTACTTTCTGTGTCTATAGATTTGCCTATTCTGAACATTTTATATAAAGAAAATCACACAACATAAGGCCTTTTGTGACTGGCTTTTTAAATTGGCATAATGTTTTCAAGGTTTATTCATGTTGTAGCACATATTGGTACTTCATTCCTTTTTATTGCTGAATAATATTCCAAGGTGTGAATATAGCACATTTTGTTTATCCATTCATTACTTGGTGGACATTTGGGTTGTTTCCACTTTGGGGCTATTATGAACATTCACATGCAAAGCTTTGTGGGACATATCTTTTCATTTATTTTGGGTAGATACCAAGGAGTGGAATTTCTGGGTTATATGGTTACTCTGTGATTCTCACTTTGAGGACTTGCCAAACTGTTTTCCATCTACCCCATTTTACATTCCCATCAGTGATATATGAGGGTTCCAATTTCTCCACATCCTCACAAACACTTGTCATTGTCTGTATTGCCCGTGGTGTGTTAATACAAATGGCATGTCTCTCCCAGTTGGCTCTTCCTCATTGTGGTTTCAGTGGGTATGAAAGACAACTGTTTGGCTCTTTGATGGCATCTCCTTGGTGGTCCCAGTCATGCTTACCCCAAACATACAAAATATTCTCAGTCATTTTGGTATGATGTGATAATATTTAATTTCATTCATGTAGCCATTTCATTCGTTTAAGCATTGAATACCTTCTTGGTCTTCTTCTCTCTAGGGTCCCAGGATTCATAGATCTAAGCACAGAGAAGATAACAGATAATTCAGCCAAAAAAAAAAAAAAAAAAAAGAGTTTCAGACGCCTCCAAAATGGCAATTAACACAGAAACTCAGGATACAATCGCTACTTGTTATTTTGATAATGATACTACCTGTTATTTATTTATTTTAAATAGGAATATAATCCACAGACTGCAACACATCATTTCTCACAATGATGTCTATGAGCCACCTGCATCAGAATGCCCTGCATGAGAGAGTGGCTTGCTCGTTATCCAGACACCCTGCCCAGTTCAAAGCTACTGCACTAGGACATCCAGGAATAGAATAAAAGAATATGCATTTATACCAAGGAAAGAGGTGAGTGTGGTGTGCGCTAACATTTGAGAAGCTCTGCCATCAAGGCTGGAGTGAGTGTCTGAGCCTGGTCACCCTCTGGGGAAGAGTGGGACAGCTCAGGGCCATGTGTCCCAGAGGTTGTTTGCATACATATCCCAACTAGAGCAGTGAGGGAACAACTCTCTTGCTCTCCTAGAGGCAAGACCCCTTAACTTATTTGCAGTGGGTCAGTGTGTGCACACCACACTTAGTTTAAAGTTTGAGACTTTGTGCGTTCATCACATTGAGCTGAGCCCCTTCAAGAGGACTCGAGCTGTGGCTCTCCAGGTGAGCGGAGATGGAAGATCCACCAGGTGAGAGTGGGACCTGGGTGGAGAAGCCAAGAGGAGGTCTGAGGCTCTGGCTGACTCTACTGCAGGGCTGGGGAGAACTATCAAAGCAGCCCCACAAACCCGGCTCCTCGGGGCCATGGAGGCAAAGGCAGGTGGAGCAGTGCAGACGACCTCTGATGAGGTGAACCATGAGGAGCAGTATGTGGGTGTCTGTCAGGGCTTCATCTCCTGTCCCCCAATAGAGGGGAGATTTCAAGAGTGGCAGTGGCCAGAAGGGAGTCACACCAAGCAGGCTGCTGCCACCAGCCCAGAGTGTCCTTTCCTACTGATGGCAGGCCTGGTGACAGACCACTGAGCCGCTCCTCCCAGAAGCATGAGCTCTGGGGAGGGCCACTGTGGGGGCAGGTGGCAGCTGGGCAGCTGTTACCAGGAGGACAAGTCTCCAAAGCCAATAGCCACCAGCAGTGGCAGCAGCAATAGGAAGAGGATGGCTATTTCTCATGTTGAAGAAGGAGCAAACCTCCTCTCTCTGAGCCCTGCATAAGGTACCCAGATGCCATCCCAGCAGCTGTGCCAAGGGTGGGTTCTGAGTCCACAAAGGGCTACTCCAAGGCAGGAGGAGCCAGTGAGGCTGATCCGGGCTGAAATGCCACAGCTGGCCCTGTCAAACCTCAGGAGGCCCAGTCCTCAAAGGGCAGGTGCGGGATGCTAAGTGGACAGAGACAAGAGAGAGAAGTCAGGGGAAGCCTGGACTGAAACAAAGAGAGCAGTCCCGCCTGATGCCGAGAGCCCTGAAAGAGTACACACACCTTCCTGCGTTGATGGGGGAGAGCACAGAGCGGGGGTAACAGAACAGCCAGGGTGGGGGGACAATGCTCTGCAGGGCTTCCCGGGCTGGCCCTGATGGCCCTGCTGTCAAGGGGGAAGACAGGCCCTCAGCACTGGGCTTTCCCCAGGCCTGGGATGTTTTACATAAGGTGTGAACCCATGCCTTTCTGGTTCTCTCTGGAAGGAGCTGAGATACCTGAGGGGCAGGAAAGTTCTCGAACTATTGACCACTGGGGTTGTGGGTTAGGAGAAGCCCGGGTTGTGTGGCTGGCAGCTCACCTCTGAATCCTCCACTGGAGCTCCGGGCTAAACCTAGTGAGTTTGCCATTTGCAAGATTCTCGACCACTGTCAGCACACCCTGAGCACACACTCGTGCGCCCACCTGTAAATACACACACAATAAGCAAGTGCCACACACCACACAGATTTCCAATCCTGCTCTGGAGAAAAGAGTTGATCCCAACCCTTCAAATCAGACCTGAGAGGATTCGTTTTCAGCAAGAGACAAAGGGAGGCGGCAACGCTGGTAAGGGTTCGGAGACCAAAACTATCTGGGCTGGAAACCTCGAGAGATCAGGTTCCCTGACCAAACCCGAAGTATTTCCTGGTCTGAGCCGGCTCTAAAATGCCAGGAGTGCTCCAGAACTCCTGGCATTTTGGTATCCCCAGCAAGGAATGGTGTAGAAAAATCCTTAAGGGGAGAAAAGACCTAGGCAGTGATTTCACAAAGGAAAAGCAAATACGTACATCCTTAAGCGGGGGAGCAGGTGAGCCAGATTTTTACTTTAATTTCAGGGGAAAAAAAGTTCAATTCTATGCTTTTTCTGCTCCAGATCATCCGTTGGTACATGTGACAAGGACAGAAAGGCTGGTGTTCCTCGGGTCAAGCCGCACATCTGATTTTTCTCCTCTGTCAATCATGTGATTTTGAGTTTTCAGACAGACTTAAAATCATCAGCTGGGAATCCTGATGTGAGCAGAGCTTTCGAAGAGGCCTCCTCCTGGAGCTGCCGGAGAGGCTGAGCGGGGACACGCTCGAGCGGCGAGCAAGTGCTGAGAACTGGAGAGGGGTGAATTTATGAAGTGAGCAGCTCATCAAAAACACAAGTCGCTCCGAATTCATCGGAGCAGGTGCAAAATGACCAGGTTTCAACAGCTGAGGTAGGATGATACTTTGTAATAAGAGAAGCTGTTTCTGGGACAGGGTCGAGTGAGACCAAGACTAATCAGGGCAGGCTATGATAAGGCCAGCCCTCTGGAGGTGACGAGTGCGCTGCAGGCTGTTGTTTTATTCCACAAAAGTATTTAAAATGCAGTTTGCAAACCAAGCATCAGCAGACACGGGGAAGGCTTTACTAATGATTTTCTGCCTCTTTCTTTCAGAAGGCTGAAAAAGTCAATAATGATCCTGTTTGTTTTCTGTTTGAAATTTTTGGTTTCCTTAAATGTCATTCAGGAGGAAATACAAACTTTTCACTTTTTTTGGATGTTAAAAAAATCAAAACCAAAAAACACTGTCCTAGGGCCAAGAGCTTGGAGATCAGGACAGCCTTTCCCAGGGTCTGTTAATATCAGAGCAGCTCCCAGACGTCTGAGTCTTTGAGTAGAGGGACACACACATGCCACAGTGGCCCCCATGAAGGGCACTTGGCCAGGAAAGTCCCCCTGCAGAGCCACACTCTAGAGGAGTGACATGCCTGAAGGAGGATACCAAGTGGATCCACAAGCTGAGTGAAAGTCAACTCCAGCCTCCAGCACCACTGCAGTTGTTTGATTTGCATTTTTAATAAACACAAATGGTGTGAATGGTGTGAAATGTGATGGAGGAAATAGAATGTTCCAGGTAAACTCACCTGGGTGGTGTTCTTGCAGACCAGATCCTCGAAGCAGTGGAAAACTAAGCTATTATTGTATTCCTTTTGGTTTTGTTTGACTTTGATTTTGAGAGGTCAGAGTTTCAGGCAATGCCAGCTACATAATGTGCAGATCCCAGTGAAAAATGAAAATTCAGGGCTCCTCGTTCAAAAATTGTTAAGACTTTTAACATGGTGACAGTAGAGCGCCAGTTTAGTGTGGGGCTTTTGGCACTGTCCATCCTCTGGCTTCAGGGATGGCTTCACTGTCAGATATAAAGCCTACGGGCAGTCAGGCCCCTGTTTCTTGCTCCAACAAGGCAGTGCTGCTGGAGGTAACTCTCCAAGCTCTGCCATGCTGTGGCTGGAGGTTTCTCTCTTTAGCCCTTGCCAGGCCAGTCAAGGAAAGTGTGAGGTTTCAGCTGCAAAACCAAGAAGACTAGGGCAGCTTACTCACCAGCAGCCATAGAAAACACCATGCTTTTTAGATGTCATTGCCTAAAGATAATTTTTGTTATGGGATCCTTCTCTGATGATTAAAATAATAATACACGAGTCAGGCATGGTGGCATGTGCCTTGCAGTCCCAGCTACTTAGGAAGCTAAGGCAGGAGGATCTATGGAGCACAGGAGTTCAAGGCCAGCCTGGACAACATAGTGAGATCCTGTCTCTAAAAAAACATGTTTATTAAAGAAATGCAAAAAATACAGAAAAGCATAAAGAAAACAAAATCACCAGTAATCCAACCACCTGGATATAGCCACTGGTCACATATTGTTATGTATTCTAATTTTTTCTACATATGTTTTACATATATGTGTATGTATAAATATAAAGTTTCCAAAATCGGAGCATGCTATGTAATATTGTTTCATAACTCTTTTCAACTTAATATTTTAATATTAATATTAAATTTAAATTAATTTTAATTTTAATATTTTAATATTCTCTTTGTCATCAAATGTCTTTAATTGCCTCATTTTTAGGGGTTGTACAGTAGCCATGCATACATACACATATGTATATAGAAAGAATATAAATTTAACACATGTATACATGTAATTTATACTTATGTTCTCATATATACACATGCATGTGTATACACAAACCAAAATATACTTAAAGGAGACTGTATGAATTTGGTCATTATTCACAGAACTCTGCTATGTCTATTCACACTGGTCAGACTGAAAATAAAATTCTCATTTCTTGTCTACACATTTTTCAGCATTTAAAAATGAGGAGTTAAATGATTTTTTTCAATCTTAAACTAAAAAGAAAATCAGGGCATCCATAGCCTCTGAAGCAATTTTATGTCTGCATAATTGGCATATTTTGTCCAATATTTAGTTCACTGAGTGCAATCCTGTTGGGTCTAAGAAGTATTATAAATGGAATTTCTTGATCTTTGCAGGTGATGATTCATTTGGAATCAACAAATGTTCACAGAGGAGATAACCAGCGATATCCCTGCTCGTCAAACTGGAGTGTTTCCCCATTCAGTCACGCAGGCGGGGGCGGCCAAGAGCCTCTAGATTAAAAAAAAAATACTAATAACACACCAGAATGTTTCAAGGCATGAAAGGGTGTTACAGAAGTGGCTTTTCAGTTCAACATTCTTTCAACAGTTCAGTCAACTTCTCATAAAATTAATAGTAAATACTTTTTTTAAAGGGTGTGTGTGTGCTGCTATTTTGGTGTGATTTGTTTTGTGTTATTGAAATATGCTACCCTGGAAAATGCTCAGCTGTAAATGCCATTCTTTATAAACACGAGCTGGGCTGCTGATGCACGGCTTTGCAGTTCTCTTTGAACTGCAGTTTTGCTGCTTTCTACTGCCATCTCGCCACAGAGCAAGCGTCTGCTGATAAGGACTTGGAGAGGCAAAGGCCTTGAAGTTCTGGTGGAAACAGCAGCTCTCCCAGTAGGCAGGACTGGCTGGCAGGGCCCATTAGTTTCCTTGTACCAGGGACTGTGCTAGGTGCTGCTAGATTTTAGAGCTTCTCTCTTCTCTCACTATGTTGCCCAGGCTAGTCTTCAACTCATGCACTCACTGATCCTCCTGCCTCAGCCTCTCAGGTAGCTGGGATTCCAGGCGTGCGCCACAGTGCCTGGCTCTTCAGCAGCCCCTTACAGTATTACTAGCCCAATTATTACGAGTAGGAAACTGAGAATCAGACCATTCAAGTGTCTTGCCGAAAGTCACACCTCCGTAGGTGGCAAAACTGAGGTGGGAATGGAATCTTCTCATTCTCCAGGCAATATTACTTTTCCAACTAATCTGCCCCACCTCCTTGAGGAGGAGCAGAGACCCACACTGTCCCATTTCTTTGGAGTATACTGAGGCATTTCTGTCACATAGTTGTACCTGGTAGCCTTCAGAATGATCTTGCAGTTTCCACACTTGATAGCATTAGCTAGTAGTAACAGGTCACGTTTTCCTTTAAAGATCATAACCTGGGTTAGACACCCCCAGAAGAACAAGCCAGCATTTTCCTGGTGATCTTAATGGTGACCTAAACGTTTGGACTTTTCCTAAGAGTTGGAAAAAGAAAAAGCATGGGTGCGTATAAATGTGTGTGTGTGCGCGCACGCATGCGCAATGGACACGAAGCGGCGGCGGGTAGGAGCTGGGAGACAGAAGGAGCAAAGACCTCTGGGGCTTCACTCAGTGACACAAAAAGCTGAAGTGTACCCACCTGGTGCCACAGACCCTCCTGACTTTTCCACAGGCTTCCCTGACATGTGTATATCCTCATCCAGCCCACACCATCCAGTTCACACATAAGCACCTCTGCAAAAATTGCATGATTTTCTGCAGAGCTATTGTAGCTACTCTAAGGGATCTAAAATGCTTACTGGTTCAGATTATTTCTAGAGAATGAACTCTAGCTTTAGCCAGGCAAGAGAGGTTGCTACGTCAGGTAGGGTCACAATGTAACTCCTCAGGGGGCGGGGACTGTATCAGCCACCCCACCCCCCCACCGCAATATAAACACACACCCAAATAAATACACATACTAAAGTTTCCTCTTTGCACCCAGGTACATCCTTTACTCAAAGAGGAAACCACTGGGAGCTTATAAGACAAGCTGGACCAAAGGACTGCTCATCTCAAAATGGTTCCACTGCACTGCTTGTGAGGAAAGATCTAGAAAATGCACCAAACACCTGTCATGGACAGTCACAGACTCTAAACTCCAGAGAAGAAATTGTCAACCCTGATTGCACATCAGAATCACCTGGAGAGATTCTTAACTGGACCAACGGGTGAGGCCTACCATTAGATTTTACTTTAATTTACCTGGGGTGTGGCCCAGGTAGGGCTATGTCTTAAAAGCTCCCCAGGTGGAGTTGCCAAACTTAGCAAATGAAAATGCAGAATGCTCAGTTATATTTGAATTTCGGATAAACAACAAATAATTTTTTATTTGTACATAGAAATACGGTGCATATTCTATGCAATATTTGGGACATGAGGTAAGATATTATTTGTGTTAATCTGACATCTAAATTGAACTGGGAAACCTGTGTTTCATTTGGCAACCCAATGCCCAGGTGATGCTAATGAACATCCTGCATTAAAAACCTCTGCTCTTATCAAAAAGACACCCTGCGCTCAAATGTTTGCCACAGCATAATTCACAACTACAAAGATGTGGAATCAACCTAAGTACCCTTCAATTCATGAATGGATAAAGAAAATGTGGTATATATACACCCTGGAGTACTACTTAGCCATAAAAAGGAATGAAATAGTGTCATTTGAGGGAACTTAGAGGGAACTGGAGGCCATTATCCTAAGTGGAGTATTTCAGGAATGGAAAAATCAAACACCATATGTTCCCACTAATAAATGGGAGCTAATAGATAGTTATACACAGGCACAAAGTGATATACAGGACATGAAAAACTAGGAAGAGGGGAGGGCGTGAGTGTAGGATAAAACTTACCCATTGGGTACAATGAACACTAATCTGGTGATGGGCACACCAAAAGCTCTGACTTAAGCTTATACAAAATATTCATGTAACAAACATACTTGTACCCCCTTATAAATATTTTGAAATTAAAAAAAAAAAACCCTGTTCTAAATAAAGCCTCCCATTATGCAAATATTCATCCTGGAATTTCCTGATTTCAAAGATTCTCTCCCAAGGTGGTCATAGATCACATGACTTTTCTCATCAAGACCGTGAGCAACCATTTTGCTTGCATGTATCTAGTAATGTCAGTGGATGGAAAAATAGAGGTACCGGGCAACCCATACATATATAGCATAGGTCCTGTATTTAGTAATTTTGTCCTCTGTTGTGTATTCACTTTGCCAGGACTCTCTAAATGTCCCGTATCCTGCTATTTTTTGAATAAATTACAAAAATGTGGTATTAAATGTGCTATTTTTCAAATTTAATTAGGTGTCCTATATTTTTATTTGTTAAGTCTGGCAACTCTATGGAGAAACTAATCTACTAAAAATCCTGGGGAATTTAGCCTGAGAAATGTATCCCCTCAGATTTAGTACTTGTCTCAACCTCTGTTAAAGTTTTTTACTCCAGACCTCTTAACTTCAGCAGGTCAAGCCTGGTGGAAAAATGTGGCTGCTCTACTAGCCAAGAATTTCAGTTCATTCTTCACGATTCCTGTTATTTCGGTTGAATTTAATAGTTTGGCATTTATCTCACTCATATATCACACATGGGTTAAATTACTATTGACAGACATTTGTTGCTAATACAATGATCCTAAACTTCTTAGTGTTTTCTTTCTTAAGTTATTTTGAAAATGATAAAATCAAGGCAAGCAGTGGCTATAAAAGCAAGGAACTGGAACCCATAGATAAGTCAGAATGAACTGCTGGCTCCCACACAGAACCCAGGGTTGTAGATTCTACAGAAAAGACGAGGAGGTTGATGGATCTCAAGTGTGCTCGACCAAATAGCACAAACATTGTGAGAAACCCTCAGTGAGAGTCCGGATTGGAACCCAGTTAGCCGAGGGGAGGTGGGGTTGGGCAGGGGAGTGGGATGATGACCTCATGCTGGAGAGAACCTGAGGGCACAGCTGAAGCCTAGGCCAGCCTCTGGGAGAGAACTATATTTTTGTCATTTTCTCTCCCTCACATTCCTTGGCCTGATTCCCACTCAGTCCTTACTGTGGGCCAGGAGACAGCAAAGTCTCCAGGTGGGAATGAAGGCTGAAGAGACACAAAGTCTGAATTTGCAAGCCAGAGAACAGGTTGAAGAATTATCCCTGTAGGCATTAAGAAAGTGGGAAGAGAGGAAAAGAATGAGAGAAGAGCTAAGAGACCTGGAAGACAGACACAGAAGTGTCAACAGTTTCTAATAGGATCCCACAAGGAAAAGTGAGAGTAAATGGAAGGAAAGAAATAGTGATTCAAGCAGACAACAACCACATGTGCAAAAGTTTAGAATAACATTAGTGAGTGTTAATATATAATTAATATAATACAAATGCTATTATATATAGTAAATTATATGGATATATCCCTTCATTCCCAACATATAAGATCTATATTTTTTCAAGCTCATATGAAATTTCACAAAAATTGGACATTTTCTTGGTTGCAAAAAAAAAAAAAAAGATTCAAGACAATTCAAGGCATCAATGTCATTCAGACTAAGTTCTTTGGCCACAGTGCAATAAAATTAGAATTCATAAAGTGATTATTTTTTAAAAATCCATATATCTAGAAAGCAAAAAAAAAAAAAGATATGACTAACCAACACTTGGGTGTAAGAGAGAATCAGATAGAAAAGTTATTAAACATATAGAGCTTTGTGGCAAGGAAAACATTGCATTTCAAAATTAGTGAGACACAGCTACAGCAGTCTTTAGAGGGCTGTGGGGAGCCTTCAATACAAGGAACCAAAACCCAGAAAGATGGAAAATGAGCTAAATAATTCAACTCAAGAAGCTAATTCAACTCAAGAAGGTAAAGAACAATAAAGCCTACATAAAGAAACAAAGAAGAAAATAAGATAAAGAATATAAACATTGAGAGAGAGATACAATAATGAATAGAAAAAATGAAAGCCAGTTTTTTTTGAACACTCATAAGACATTAAAGTATAAGAGGTGGCAGGGATTCCAAATAAATAAAATATACACATAAAAGAGAATATAATTATAGAAACACTTGAGTTTTAAAAATTATTCAAATATAATAAACAACTAAATGCCAACACATTTGAATAGTGTGTGTATATAAAAAATATGTGTGTATAGATAAGTAATTTGTATATGGGTAGAGGGATATATGGCACTGGTTCACAAAATGTGATCCTGGGACTAATATCACCTAGAAACTTCTGAAAAATACAAATTCTCAGGCCCCTCCCCAGACCTACTGAATCAGAAACCGGGAGTGGGGCCAAGAATTTGGATTTTAACATGCCTCCCCCAACCCCAGGTGATCTCAATAACTGCTAGAGTTTGAGAACCTTTGGTATAGGTGGTAAGTGCTATGAATAAAAAGCAAGAAAGTGGGAACATCAGCATGGAGAAGGATGTTTGTTATTTTAAACAGAATAATTGGGAAAGACCTCACTGGTAAGGGTGACTTTTGAGTAGAGCACCTAAAAGAGACAAGGAAGAGAATGAAACAGATACATGAGTGAAATGTGTTGCAGACAGATGGAATGGCAAGTGCAAAGGCCCTGAGGTAGGATCATGCTTAATGTGTCCAAGGAACAACAAAGAGGTCAACATAGCTGGAGCAACTGAGCCAGGGAGAGAGTCCTAGAAAGGGGGTGCCACAGTAGATCCCATTGGGCCTGTCCCTGATTTCCTCATTAGATGACAGCATTTTCCTTTACCCTAAGTACGCCTAAGTGGATCAGCTGATCTCATTCCTTAAGGACTCCTGAAGTCATCTGTCATAGGAAGAATTTTACATAGGAAACTGATTACAAAGGGATGGAGGTATTAAGAAGCCAAATTTAGAGGTTGCCTACATAGGGGGCGCCTCAGAACTCCCCCAATCTTCCACCCCTGCAGCCTGGTGCCAGGCCCTACGGGCTGCCGAGGGCCTCCTTGTGGCAGTTCTTGCTCGCCCCTGTGATCTGGCCGAGTTCTTACCCCTCGCTTCCAAGGAGTGGCAGGAATTTTCAACATGGTTACTCATTCTATCTTCATTTTAGAGAGACAGCAAAATTAATTCTAGCAGTAGTAGCAAGCTGACCCAGAGAGCAGAATGTTCTTATTTTCCTTCCTGGGTACACCCTCTTTCCGTTCCTTACCCCTTTTCTCCCATCTTCTCCGTGACACTGAGCCTGGAAGTGACTCACACATTTCCATGGCACTCCAGAGCCACAGTTAGCCCGGGGAAAACAGCAGCACCCTTTCTGTTGTCTCACAGAACTTTCAGCCTTGGTTTTCTTTGCTGAGAAGCAGCAAACCTCGTGATGAGGAGCACAGACTTAGGGGAAAGAGATGTGCCTGGACTCCGGCTCTGGCTGTGCCAGATCCAAGCTTGGACAGGCCACTTCACCAAGCCTCTTCCTTCTTCCAAACTATGCCATCATACTGACCTTACCGGGCCTTCCCATGGAATTAAACCAGGTAACGTGTAAACAGCCTACATGTTTGCCTCTCACTTATCGCATACTCAGTAATTATACTTCTGTTGTCATTATTCAATTTACCATTTTGAACAGCACACCCCAGATCAGATTCCTGTGTGCAAGTGGTAGGGGCTCCGGCTTTCCTTGTAGGCAATTCCTGGGTCCATGTAGCCTCAGAGCCATTCTGTATCCTTCTCTGCTCTGGAAGGTAGTAGGGGGTCAGGGGGAGGGCAGAAGGAAAAATGGGGACACTGCATTTTCTGGGGTTCC